AGGAGCTAAAACCAGACAAACAGGAGCTAAAACCAGACAAACAGGAGTAAAAACCAGACAAACAGGAGCTAAAACCAGCCAACTAGGAATGAAAACCAGATAAACAGGAGCTAAAACCAGTCAAACAGGAGCTAAAACCAGCTGACCAGGAACTAAAACCAGAAAAACAGGAGCTAAAACCAGCAAATCACAAGCTAACTAATACCAGCCATCTAAGAGATAAAACCAGCAAACTAGGAGCTAATATCAGCAAAACGGAAGCTAAACAAGCATATCAGAAGCTAACAGCTAAGACCAGCAAACTAGGAGCTAAAACCAGCGAACCAGGAGCTAAAAGCTAAAACCATCAAAAAAAGTGCTAAAAGCTAAGCTCAGCAAACCAGAAGCTAAACTAAAACCAGCAAACCTGTACCTAAAACACGGAGTTTAATTAATTATTTTTTTCTTCTGTTGATATTTCTGATATATAGACGAACCGTCCTGTCCCGCAGGAGACAGCTTCTCAAAACATTTTCTTCAGTCTTCTGTCCTCGCCAACGTTCCTGATTTTCACGCCGAGTCTGAACCTGCTCTCTGATGTGACGATCGCCCACTTTCTGACATTGAAAAGGCGGGCGATAATGTTTTTGCACCTGTCTTAGTGTCTGTGGCTCCAATTAAATAATAAATAGGTAATAAAGACCTGAATAAAAAATTCATGTCTCTTGTAAATGAGTCCTCGAGGCTCAGTGGGATTAACCCGTATAAATAAAGGTTGAACGAATGAAAAAAAAACTTTTGGAGTTGCCACAACCACCTGACCTTTGAGAACACCAAACGGGATCGAACTCAGTCAGTTTTTACAGCTATTAAGCCAGAGTTTGTTGCGGCAGTAGCTGAAAGTCGTCTCAGACACACGCACTGATGCATGTTAGAGTTTGCATGTGCATGTCGCTCGGCAGCGGACGATATGCATTCCTTCAAGGAATGCTAACCTTTAATTAAATAATGAATTCATTGTTCAGAACTCGCCTTCAAATAACAAAAACTAAGCCATTATTCTGCAAAATGAACATTTTCCTTCCTGTTTTAATTCGTCTGACTGAGTGCGTTGCTGCTGAGGTCTCTTGTGATTCTGCAGCGAGCTGTGGCTCCGTCCTTTTTGTGCTTTCACACAGTTTGAGCTCTTTGTGATAAACCTGTGGAATCCCGTGAGACGTGAGTTAATTCTGGAAAAGAGTCTGGAACAATAATGACGCGCAGCCTCAGTGAACTGTGCATGACCCGAATCCACTTCCTGTTGGGAGTTCTGCGGATTATTTGGGTTAAAGATGGCCGGTGTTTTTTAACGTCCTTTAGCTGCGGTTCGCCTTTTTCTCCGCCTCGTTCCAATTATCCGACCTTCTCTGGCTTGGTTGGTCTGTCCCGGATCATCTCCTCAGCGTTCCCACCTTCCTCCTCACTCTTCCTCCTCATCAGCAGCTGTTGTTTATATTCATGCAGCACCTGCCACTACCTGCAGATTTAGCTGCTCTGCAGCTGATAAGAATTACAGAAAGACCTCCTGCTTATAGTCAAATCTATTGCAAATCAATTTATAACTTTAAAATTGACATGTTTCATTTGGATGGTGCTCCCGGGCTCAGCGTGTGCCGATGCTGCAGGGTTCAGCAGGATCACGCTGTCAGCTAGTTTTCAGAGGGTACTGGCAGATTTAAATGGCAAATGCTGGGGTGGAATTTCAATTAGGTGAAATTGACATAACTGGATTGGAGGTGTGTAGGCCTAATTGGCCCGAGAGAATCTGCAGAGACGCCTTGATGAATGGCTGATTGGTGTTTAATCACAAAAACACCAAATCCGCCTGGTGAGAAAAGAAATGGGGGGGATAAGGCGTCAGGTTTTTAATGGAGCTGCCATTTGATTGGCTATGAATGGTCTGAGATGGCGTGCTAATTCAGAAAATTAAAGTTTTTATCTTTTAATGCCGGTGATGTTATGCTTCATGTGGGGATTTGTGTTTTTCAGCGTGACAGGAAGGTTTCCAAACATTGAGCTAACACAAATGGGTCACAAGTTAATAAAAAAATTTTTTTTTTGGTAATTTTGTTAAAGAAAACTCAAAATGTTTTCCTTCAACTCCTTTTAAATAACTTGCCTTTTTCTCAAATATTGATTAAATGTAGGAAATAAATTAATGCTAATCTGCTAAACTGATTTTTATTACAATTTATCTGTATCCAACAAGAAAAAGCAAACGAGAAAGGTCAAAATAAGTCGTATTTAACGGTCCCAATTGATCAGTCGTGCGCGCAGCACTCCACATGACAGATGGCTGGATCGAGCCACGTATTGAAAATAATGGTAAACACATTAGGGTTGTTATTTATTGACACTACGGGGATAGGATTTTGTGCATCGACTTCAAACTTGGTCAATCTTTAAAGCTAACCCTTGGGGGGAGCAAACACACATTAGAGAAAATGTCTGCAGCAGTTAGCTTAGTCAACACAACTCTAAACTGCAATGAGGATTTATGCTTTTAAAAGAAAAACTGCACAAAAAGAGGTCCGTTTGCTGCTTCGGTCAGTTCAGTTCTCCATTAAAATGCCCTTCAGGCTGACAGAACGGCCGACATTGGTGGTTCTGGTTGGCTGGAATCAAGTTCGCTGCTGTTAGCTTAGCTGTCACAACTCTGAATGCTAGAGGACATTTCTGTTTCTAAATCAAAGTAACAAAGAAAAAAGACTTGGAAGTGTCCCCATAATCACTAGCTAAAATCTAAATGTAGCAAAATGCTAGCTAAAAGTCAAAAGTAGTAAATGGCTGGCGAAAAATATCGAAGCTAGCTACAGAATAAATGCAACAAAAAGTTAACCAAAAGCTAAAAGTAGCAAATGGCTAGCTAAAAGATTTCTTCTTCGTTTGGCTTTTCCCTCTTCAGGGGTCGCCACAGTGAGTCATCCTCCTCCATAGCTCCATGGCTAGCTAAAATACAAAAGTCACAAAAAGTCAACTAAAAGCTAAAATGGTAAAATGCTAGCTAAAAGACAAAATTAGCAAAAAGCTAGCTGAAAGTAACAAAAGGATAGTTACAAGCTAATGGTAGCACATGCTAGAGTCGTCCATCCGACCACGGTGTCCTTGTTGGTTCTTTTTATTCCCAGCTGTAGAGAAGACTCACTATGACTCAATAAATCCGAGCAGATTAACGTTTTTATCATTTACTGTAGATAAGGCAGGAACAGTTGCAGGTTGTCAGAGCTGAGGCTTCAGTCCGAACCGTCACGATGGGGATCTCGGCGACAGAAGCCTCGAATTCAAGGAGTACTTCAACTTTTCTTGGCCCTAGACTCCACTCTGGACAATGGATGGAGTTCAACCTGAGTGTATCAGTGGGGCGGCTATTGTGTAGATCATACTGGTCATAACTGGTTTAACCGATGATAACAGTGGGTGTAGTGAAACTATCGAAAATGTGCATATGTGAGCAATAAAAGAAAGAACAACTCCATATTTGGGATTGGATCCGGGACATCTCATCCTTGAACAGATAGACCCAGCCATGACTGATCAGAGACAGAACCAAGGTCAGTTTCTGGGCGGGCAAGGCTCAACTGGAGGACGTATCTAACACTAGCTAAAAGACAAAACTACCGAAAGGCTAATTGAAATTAAAAGTAGCCATCAAAGCAAGTGTTCACGACCAGATTATAAAGAGAAAAATGTTTTTGTATGAATTCAAAAGATCTTATTGTATTTTTTGTGGGGAACATATTTGTAAATAAAACTAAATATTTAGAAATTTTATAAAAGTTATAAAAGTCAGAGCAGCCATTTTCTGAATGAGCCGAACGTTTTGATGTATGAATGGCTAAAACAGCACAAAGAGGTAGATACTAAAAAAATGTCTGGAAAAATGAAAGATTCAGCGTCGACCCAAAAATTATCGTAACTCGGTTTTTCGTTCCGGTTCTTCAAACCGGCTCACGCTAAATCATCTCCCTGCTGTCCCTCAGACGTCGCAGGAGTTCCTGGGGTCGCTGACGTCCCGTCTGGGAGGGAAGAACCCGGAGGAGACCGGTGGGTTCCAGGAGGCCCCCCTTGCCTATGATGCAATCTGGGCTCTGGCCCTGGCCCTGAATAAGACTGTGGCCCCGCTGAAGGCCAAGGGCCGCCGACTGGAGGATTTCAACTACAACAACCACGACATCACCGCCGAGATTTACAGAGCACTCAACACCAGCCTGTTTGAGGGGGTTTCGGTAAGTCAAAGACCCCCACCGCCTCCTTGTTATGGTACAGTTATCCAACCAGCAGTCAACACACAATAACCAGCAGACTGGCAGAAATTATTCAGTCAAACCCACACGGTGACTCAGCCTCCGCAACCAGACTTTCATTATTTTTTCACTCAAAGGGGATAATTGCAGATGTGGTTGATTTTATGTTTTAAAGGGTATTTTATTTTTTCAGATTTGGGTAAATATGGATCTTTTTCAGCCTCCTTTTCATTTTTCTAGGACAGATTGTTGCCCTGTGGCCTGTAACAATGACAATAGTTTATTGGGCTATTAAATATTTTTTATATTTTTATAAAAACGCGAACTTTCCGGCCCAGTCTCACTGACTTTTGAGCGTTTGTGACCATCAAGCCACATGGTCATGTTTTGCGAAGCCAGTATTTCTAAATCATGACCTATTTTGACATTATTGTACACACCTGGCAGCTGCCCCATGTTTATGACTTAATCTACTTGAAAACACTTTGGAAAAGCAGATTTGGAGCAGTTTTTTATGAAAACTACCAATATATATTATCGGCATGATGTTTAGCCATATGTCATTACAAATAGCCATACGTCACTCACTACGTATGACCATAAGTCCCCTTTTATGGCTGTACGTCACTAAATATAGCCGTTTATGTGGCTGTACATCATTTCCTACAGCCGATCATCCCTACGTATTGCTGTACATCACTACAAATAGCCACAGATTTCTATGCCAAACATCATTATGTATTGCTGTACATCATTACATAAAGCCATGCGTCACTCCAAATAGCTGTACGTTACTATATACGGCTATATACATGGCTCTACATCAATATATATAGCCAATTGTACGGCTGTATGTCACTTTGTAGTCGTACATCCCTATTTATTGCTATGTAACTATGTAAAGCTATACGCCACTACAAATAGTCATACATCACTATGTATGGCCGTACGTATGTATGGTTGTATGTCACATTGTATGGCCATCCCGACCTACGGCCAGGCATATGTTTGTATGTAACTTTGCTTAGCCGTTAAGTCACGACAAATAGCCGCACGCCACTACATATAGCTGTTTTGTTCCTACGCATGGCCATAGATTGCTGTATGTCACTATGTATGGGACATAGGGACAAAATGGCCTCACATAGTGACCTTTGGTCATTTGTAGTGATGTATGGCTTGGCTGCAGATCACTGCATATAGCCATACATACAGCCAAATGCCTTACGTGACTTGTTAAGCGGGTACCCCCCCCGCTCCTGAGTGCATGTTCACCAATCACAACTGCTGCACTCCTCCCCTTTGCCTGTTTTTCTTCATCTCAATGGAAAAGCAGAGGAGGAGCTTGAAGGTCTCCATCTGGAGTGGAAAACAGGAAAGTGAGAATAAAAGAACGACTCTCAACTTTCTGTCTATGACTTGTTTTCTGCAGTTCGTTTTAAGGAGTCGTTTAAAAGATTTGATCAATCAAACAACAACCCCCAAAACCGCAGCTTTGTTTTTGGTATTTTATTTAAAGGCATAAACCTTCATGCATCTCCTCCTACATGTCTCTGCGTGAGTGCAGCTACGGCGTGCGCTCTCAGGACATTATTACCTGCAGTGTTCCCTCAATGAGGACTGAACTTGTCAAAAGCGCCTTCTCCTACTCCGCTCCTGTTTCCTGGAATATCTTTCAAAAAGATCTGAAGCTCTCGACCTTTGACCTCTCTACGCGGCTTCAAACATCTGTTAAGTTCCTGGCAAGAACCAATGCAGACATGTTCCTGTTTTTAGTTTTCTACACCGCCTTATAATCTAGCTGTTTGTTTTCACTACTATTCCTCTTGATTGTCCTTTTGGTTGCTATTTTATTTATTTGTAAAAAAAAAAAAAGGGAGAAATTAAAATTTGTATGCCTATTTTATGATTGTCTATTGTTGTCGTTGTTGTCCACTGTTGTCATCACTTTTTGTTAAGAAATCAGGTCTCTCTTGTAAATGAGCCCCGAGGCTCAATGGGATTAACCTGTCTAAATAAAGTTTGAATGAATAAAAAAAAAAAAAACGTAGTGGCAGTATGGCGAACATGGTGGTTTTGACACCGTAGTACGCCTCAGAACCTGTGAATGGCTCATGCCTGATCAGAGATGGACAATGATCAAAAACAATTAGTTAAAGTTGGATTCTTCTGCAGGAGTAAAATCAGTCTTCATGTCTTTGATCGAGCTGTATTGTCCTCACTAAGAACCAAAGTATCAAACAACAAAATGAACATTGTATTGTAATGGTGGTGCAACTCCTCTTCGAAGCAATGATTCTTTGAAAAGCTTGTGGGTGGAAGCCAACAGTTGTTCCTCAGAGGAGACGGATGCACAGCTGGATTGAACTGCAACAGAACCAGAGCGCTCCTAAAAGCCACTTCCTGCTCTTTGTGTCTCAGGGCCAGGTGGTGTTTGACGCTCAGGGTTCCAGGATGGCGAGGACCCTCATCGAGCAACTGCAAGGTAATCCACCCCCATGCCGTCCTTTCACTCCAGGGTCTGAAAGGAGCAACAAATGCCACTCATTCAAAAAACGTAAATAAAAAAAACAGTTGTGCTTTCAGCTCAGCGTTCTGAAAACAACCTTCATTTGTTGTGGTTCTTGTGGCCTTCGGCTCTAAATGCCCTGAATCGGCTGGTGCAAACGGTCCTGATGCAGAAATGTGGTGAACCGAGGCTTCGCTCTAATTGGGCGCAAGTCTTCATTGTAAAGCTGTTTCTGGAAATGGCATCCTATTTGTCACCCGTGACTTAATGAGTTTCCCCGCACCAGATAAGGTGCAGGATTATTTTCTACTTCTGTTCTCATCGGCGTCCTGAAGGATGAAAATTTATAATCCTAACGTTCCGTCTCCGGCTTCCTGCCGTGGCGTCGAGATAATTTGACATTCACAATGAGACGACCTGACTGGAATCCCTGAACACCAGACCTCATCAGTATTCCCGGTCATCGCTGCTACATGAGCTTTTATTTCTCGTGCTTTTCTCCTTCGTCTCCCCTTGGGTTTGTTGTCCCTCTTAATGCTCCGCCTCATCTGTCATTTCTTTCAGCTGTTTATCCTTTTTGTCCTGCTCACATTGATTCCATTAGCTAAACACTGGTGGTATAAATAAACATTTATCTGCTCTTTCGATCAGAAAATAACCCGAAAATTGTCTTTTTAAACTTTTAGGTGGTGTGTATAAGAAGATCGGTTACTATGACAGCTCCCAGAACAACCTCACCTGGAACGACAGCGATGTTTGGATCGGTAAGGCAGCCGAGCTAATATTTCCACCTGTTGTGGTGTTTAATCATACCGGGTTTTCTCTGACTCTTAGTTTGGATGCTGACGATTGTTCCTGAATCAGCTGGCTCTTCAGCAAGGGTTCAAATTTAGGCTTTGGGTTTAAACTTCTCATGTGAATTAACACCAGACTTTAACTGGAACCACGTGTTTGTTTTATTCCTGGGAATCTGGCAGCTGTGAATTAAAAGGCAACACTGTTGTTATACAAAGCAGAACAATACAAAACAAAGGCAGTGCTAAAAAACATGAAATATATTCAGTATTTGTGTTAACCCTCTGAAGGTCCTTTAACTTTATGGAGAAAAATCGACCACCTTACATAAGTGCTTAAAAATATTATTTTTGATTTGATTTCCCCCACAATAAACTAGTCAGTGTTTAGAGCTATCACAGCCTGAAATTAAAATCTAAAATTTAAATGACTTTATTTGATTTGACTCTTTAAGTGCCTTTAGTTAAAAAGTAAAAACTTAAAATTGACTAAATGTTTATTTTATGGCATGTTTTTGGGGGAAAAGACTTTTTGACTGCTTCTAAAAAGAATTCCAGGCTGGAGTTTTGTGATACCTTCAAATACATTCGCTAAAAATAAGGCCTTGTTTTCGGTCCATCTTACACATGTGGTTGGACATAGATATACATATTTTATATTTTTATTTAAAAAATATATATTTTTTCCTAAAACTACTTGTGTACAACACCAGTATCCATTTTGCTTTTATTAAACCTGATACGTTTCCACGCCGCTGAAACACGGTGCATCTGCCATTGACTTCTGGATTCGATCAAGCTAACAGGCGTCGGCCGTTCCGAGCGGTGGAGCGTCTGATTCTTCAGGCTGCGTGCATGTGGGTCAGCTTTTAGGTCGGCATCTTTACTTCTGCACAACGCAACGTGTGCTTTTGAGCTTTACATTCAAACTAAAGCACTTTTGTTGGATGAGATGACGCCGCAGCAACATCCAGCCGGGAAAGACGTCTCTCTTCTGGGCGAGTTGACGTCCCTCTCAGGTAATTTTTTTTTACAAAGGCTCACAAACGTAAAAAGCTAAGCATCAGCTAATGAGCTTATATAAAAATCAAAAGTGCAAAGATAGACATAAACTAAAAAGAATGCAATATTTTGTGATATGATGATGATAAGACGAGAAATGGCATTTATAATGGGATTTCCCTATGGTCGGTTTTCTCCTAAGGAACACTAATGGTAAATGGACTGTACTTATATACATTAACACCTTTCTATCTTATCAAGACACTCGAAGCTCTTTACAACACAATCTGTGTCCTCATTTACCCATTCCTACAGCACTCTGACTAGATCTATATAAAGAATAATCAGTGCTTTATCACATTCACACACCGATGGGACACACATCAGAGTCAATGAGGGGTTCAGTGTCTTACGCAGGGACACTTCTACCCAGGGACACTTCAGCATGTGACTGCTGGTGGAATCAAACCCCCAACTCTTGCACTGGAGGACAACTGCTCTAACCACTGAGCCACAGCCTCCCTCTAGAGGGTAGTAATGTTACTATGAGGTGACCGGACGATTTGAACCATCCTGACAAAATAAAACAGTTTTAGATCAATTTTTAAAATTTGTCAGGAACAGTCGTGTTTATTGACAGCACCAACAAATACACCAAATTGGGCCGCTGCCCTTAAAATAGCTTCAAAACTCCATAAATACCGTTTCTTAAAGTTCTGAACTGAAAGAAGCGTTTGTTGGATTGCTTCTGTCAAACAAGACTCTAATCCAGGTGATAATCTCGACGTTTGAGAGAGGGGATTTTTTTCCAAAAGAAGCAGGAAACCCAAACATCCGTTCTGGTCCAACTGGTAGTTTATGGGACCGGACCGGAGTTCCAGCGGTACGTTTGTGTTGTTAAGCGCAGTCACCGGTTCGGATGATGGGCTTTTATCGGCACCATTTGAGGCCAGACTTTCTTGGAAGTGGAAGTGATTCCTCGCATGAATTTTCTCGGTGGACGAATCAAGATTTTAGAAAAGATTTGAGTAAATTCGTCCCTCGGCTCATGAAGTTCTAGATCAACTGCTCGTTTTTATTCCTGTACTTCCTGCAGCCTTCAAAGAGAATCAGAAAAAGAGGAAATAAACGCTTCAGTTTGGACCCAGACGGGTTTTAAAGAACCGTAACGAACAAAAATGTCTGTTTTATGAGTGCAGCTGCAGCTTAGAGTCCTCTGTGTTCAGAATTAAAACAAACCACAGAAATTATATTTTCAGCTAAAAACTGAATAAATGCTGAAGGAGTTTACTGAGATCTGCTGAAGGGGCTGGAACTGACCTGTTCCAGCCGAAACAAGTGGAGCATGAGCTAAAAGGAGCAGAACACTAGATAAAAAATAGAAAAACACTTGCACAAAGCTAAAATGAGCCAACCATTAGCGAAAAAGAGCAAAACACTAGCTGAAAGCTAGAATGAGTAAAACAGTAGCTAAAAGCTAAAAGAAGGAGAACATTAGCAAACAGTTTAAAAGGAGTGTGCTAGCTAAAAGCAGAAAATTGCTAAAAGTGATTTTAGCTTAAAATTAAAAATGGCAAATCACTAGAAGAAAGGGTGAATTAGAAGGCAAGCTTAAGCCTAAATGTAGCAAAATGGTAGCTAAACGCTAATAGTATCAAAATATTTGATAAAAGCTAAAAGTATAAAAATTATAACAAAAAGCTAAACATAGCAAACACAAGTTTAAAGCAGGCAATGGTTAGCTAACAGCTTGATGTAGCAAAAAGGTATCGGTATTAAAAGACTAGCTGAAAGTACAAAAAGTCTAGCTAAAAGGTAAAAGTAGCAGCAGCAGCCGAAGCAGATTTCAAAGAGAGCAAAGTTTCTGAAGGGTTCTGAATTTATTTCTGTGAAGAAAATGTCATAAATAAAATTTAATATTATAAGAAAATATAAAATGTACAAAACTAACAAAGCCACAGCATCTATCTCCTGCATGAGCTGAAGGTTTTGATGTATGAACAGCTATAAAGTTACACAATTTATGCAAAAAAAAGAAAATTAACATGTGTAAATTAAAAACTAAAACCTCGGTGTGAAAACTGAGATTTTTTAATCCCAAACTCGAGTAAATCTCTCCGAGTATTTCAACCTGAAGGGTTTTTATCTGTTCGGGCCCAAACCCGGTCCACCCGGAGCAGAACCTCTGCTGCCTGGGTTCTGGTTGGCCGTGAAAACCTGTTGGTGTCGATTTGCCTCAAACGAGAGCGAACCATGTTGTGGTTGTTTACTGGACCGGACTCTCCCCGGAGACGTGACACAGTTGTGTCTGGACCAACTGTGTCACTGATCAATCCTTCACGCCCCGCCGGTCCGCGGGCTCGGTTCTGGTTCTGTTTATTTTAAACTCGTTAGAGAACCAAACAGCCGCCTGACTGGGTTCTGAAGAAGTTTAGATTCCAGGTCAGTGTCAGTGGGGGCAGGGGTGTCAGTTTAGACTTTTACTTTGATTTGTTGTCTGTTAGCAAAATATCTCATCAATCACTGGTCGGATTTCAATGAGACCAGGAATCAGGATCAGGGATCAGGAATTAATGGCTGGATGTACGTTTCAGACTGTTTACCATTTGAAGTCAGCCCAGTTCAAGATGGCTGCCACAGCTAACTCACATTACCCAACGCATAAATGGCTGTAACTCCATCAGATTGGCTGATTATAAGCTAAAGTTTGGTGTGGTAGTAGCTGAGAGTCGTCATCAGCACATGCTCTGAAGGCTGAATATTTTCAGGGTTTAACTCTGCGGGCGATATGCATTTATTCAACGTAGTTAAACCCTCCATCATCCCCCCTCCCTCCACTCCGCTCTCGGCTCCGTCTCCCTAACAACCACTTCAGCTCGGCTTTTCTCCACATCGCTGTGGCAACTGTTACCGAGCCGGGGTCTCCATGGCAACACCCTGTCCCGATTCTTTCATCAAGGACGGAGGAGGGTTTGAACGCCGAGCGGACGCTTCTGTTGACGCACTCAGACAAACACGGATGCTTCCTGTTTACACAGTCTGCCACAAAAATGACCTTTAATGAAAAAATGTGAACGTTATTTAATTTCTATTTTATGCGAAAGACAGAAAAATGGGTTTTAAATTTGATCACGTTGGATCAAACTACAACATGATGGGACAAAATTTAAATTAAAGCTACCGTTGTAGGAATGTTATTAATACAAATTATATTTTAATTGTAAACCCATTAAGTGAAAACAAACATGTTTACAACCTGTTTTTAGTTTCTTCTTATGTTTTCTAGATTATATTTCAGCAAACTTTCAGCTCTTTCAGCTGTTCAGGCATCAAAACATTCAGTTCGTTCACAACATTACAGATAGGGCATTTTTTTGTTATTGTTTGTTTACATTTGTACTTTTATAAACTTTAAATTTAATAAATTTGTGCATTTTTTTGTTTTCTGCAAATCTTTGAAACACTTGTTTGAAATCTACTTCATTGTACTTATCTTAGTTTTAGCTAGTATTTAGATAATTTTAGCTTTTGTTAACAGTTTGTTAAATTTAGTAATTAACTCACAACATCCTCGCTGCATTTTAGCAAAAAAAAATTAGCTAAAGATTTTTTTCTAATCTGTGTCAGTTATGCTAATTTGTTAGCACACTAGCAAAAATGTTAAAAGGAGCCAAACACAAAAGAAAAATCAATTAAATGCTAACAAAAAGTAAAAATACAAGCGAATACATAAATAAACAAAACAAAAATATGCTAAAAGCTGCTTTTAACTAAAAGCTAAAAATGGCAAAACACTAGCAAAAAGTGTAAGTTAAACTCTAAATGTAACAAAAAGGTAGCTAAAAACTATTCGTAACAAAACATTTGAAAAAAGCTAATAGGAAAGCAATGCTAACAAAAATCTAAATGTAGCTAAACACTAGTTTAATGCAGGCTATGGTTAGCTAAAAGCTAGAAGCCATCGTTAT